TGTTAGTTTATCCTCTTGAATTTTTCCACTAACAAGTATGTAGTGACCTTCTTCATCTCTTTTAATCATTTTAGCTTTGAAGTTCACATTGTCTGCAAATAGAATACTTACCCCTGCCTTTTTCTGGGTTCCTATTGCATGGAATACTGTTTTCGATCCTTTGACTTTTAATCTATGAGTTTCCTTTTGGGTCAAATGTGTTTCTTGTATACAGCATATTGTGAGATCCTGTTTCTTGAGCCATTATATCAACCTATTTCTTTTCATAGATGAATTGAGGACATTTGCATTTATGGACATCACTGATATGTGCTGGCTCCACTTTGCCATCTTATGTTCCACTTGTTTGCTTTTTGCTTTTCCCCCTTGTTTAATTGCTTGTCCTACCTGGTGGTTTCTTTCTATTCTTGTTCTGGGGATTGTGGTCATTTTTATCTCTATCTAGTATGTCTTTCAATACTCTTTCTAAGGTTGGTTTGGTGAACGTGAATTTCTTCAGTCATTCTTTAGTGATGGAAGTATCTTGTTTCTCCATTAAATCTGAATGAGTTCTTCTGCATACATCAGTCTGAGTTGAAAGTTGTTTTCTTTCAGGATTTGAAATACCTCACTCCAAACTCATTTTGACTTGAGGGTTTGTGCTGAAAAGTCTGCTGTGGCTCTAATGAGTTTTCCTTGATATGTGAGCTGTGTCTTTTCTCTAACAGCTTTTAGTATTCTGTTTTTATGCTGTATGTCTGAGATCTTAATTATCATATGTCTGGGTGTAGATTTATGTTGGGTGTGACTGACTGGCATTCTATATGCCTCACTCATCTGCATATTAGATTTTCAGCCCCTGTTTGGGAAATTTTCTGCTATTCCTTCTGTGGATAGTTTACCTATGTCATTTGCATTGACTCCTGCATCTTCACTGATGCCTATTAATCTTATGTTGTTTCTCTTGGCATCATCTTGAAGCTGCTGGATTGACATTTCTTTCTGATTTGTTATTTTTAAAAGTTCTATCCTTTCATGATCACTATTTGTGATCTATTCCTCAAGGTCCAAAATCCTATCCTCAGCTTCATTTAAACAGTTTTGCCAGCTTTCAATAGAATTTTTGTTTCTTGAATGTCTCTTTGAGTTTGTTTCATGAATTCTGCTTGTTGTCTATATTGTTCATTCAAGGTTTCAATCAGTCTCCCATGGTCCTGTACTTTTTTCTCTCATTCTTCTTTAGCTGTGCGCAGCAACTCCTTTACTAATGTTATTTCTATCTTTAGTTGGGAGAGTACTTCTAATTTGATTTCTTAACTTCATTTTTACTAGTTTTATCTTTTGCTCCCTTTGAGTCCCATTTATTTTAGAAGTGGAAAAGTCATGTTATCAAATAAAGGGAGAACAGTTTTATGTCTGCCCAGAGATGACGCAGCATATCATTTAAAAAATGTAATCAACACTCTTTTCTTGGAATTGAAAAAATGCAGAAAATTACCTCTGGTTCACCCCAATACATCTTTTAATTACATTGTACTCGTCTTACTTTGAGGACAAGGTGATTCAGCCTGACAGTGGAATTTCCTTCTAGCTGGTTTGCTTGTACTTGTAGAAAAATGAGGCAAAGATAATTGTGAGAGGGATTGTAGACTATTTCAAACAAGTTTTTCAGTGTTTGCTTTATTGAGTCCATTTCAATATCTCCTCCATGCTTCAGAGTAAGTAAAGGACAGATAGGATTATAGGTATGATGCAAAAGGAAATCCTTGTTTTAATCATCATTAATTAAATTATCAGCTCAACTGAGGAAATGCCCATTCAGTGACCATCAGGTGGTCATATTAAGATCAGTTTATTCAACCCGCTAAGCAAGGGAAATCAACAGCTGTAGAGAGAGACTTCATAGTGTTTCTAACCAGGAGGGGGCATTTAAGTAAGCATACAGAATTTTAGAGCTATAGTTAGTTCTAATGTTAAGGGGAGACAATAATAACTAAGGAAAAGGCTGATAGGGCTAAAATTTGTGAACATGAAATAAAAAATCCATACTTAGAACATATGACCCAAAAAAGGAGGTGATGTCAAAACACTGAAATTTAGTTTATATTGTTAGTCATGGTTTGATACAAGTTACCTGTTTTGGGGTTCACTGCATAGTTTTGCAAGTTACAGTCTCTGATTTCTCACAGCAAACAAGTAAATACTAACATAATACACACATGCTATATTTATTAAAGGACCTTTACAAAAATTTAAACTATAGCCTATCATTTAAGAAATTAATAAACAATGGATTTTAATCACACTTTTTAAAGAAAATAGTCAAAATCACTTAAGCCTTGTTGAAACCTGTGGATCTACATCTATGCTTTATAAGGTATCCTTTTCCTTTATTACTATATTTTAGTCTCTCTATTATAAATATACATATATATATATGTATATATATACATATATATATATATGTAATCAGTACTGACAGTCAAGTGTCTTTGATATTTTTATGTTGTATTTTGAGATATTTTCCATTCATCCTACATAGGTATTTGTTTGTATCCTATCTTGCCTAGAAAAAAAACTGTGCTCCTCCAAGTATCAGAGCTTATATGCTATTGAATAGCATCACTAATGCTTGAGTCAAGAATTCTGGTTTATAAAACAGAGATACATCTTGAGACCACAATCATAAGTGAAATAAATGTGACTCACAAGCTTAAATACTGCATTGTTTCCCTTGTGTAAAATATCAGAAAGGAGGCATAATGGAAGAGGGATGCGGGAAGTAGGAGAAATACTTTCAAATGGGAAGGGGGTGAAGGAGGAGGGGAGGAAGGAAAGAAGGGAAAAGGAAAAACAATGGATAAAATGGAGACAGTTATTGTACAAATGGAAAAACAAAGGACCATTGATAGGAAGGGACGGGAATGGGAAAGAAAGCATTGAGATGTGTCATGCACAGGTACACATTCCCTATGTGAACAATATGTATGACAAATATGTACTAATAAAAATTTAAGAATAAATAAAATAAATTTCTGTATGAACATAGAGATTTGCAAATAAACCTGTGTGAGAGAACACATGAAATGATAATGTCATAACCACGAACTGCTAAAGGTCGCATGCAAATCCTGTAAGAGAAACTTACCATGAAAGCCACTCTGTGTCTGGGTAATCTACACTCTTTGTAGTAAGTTTTCTTCCGAAAACATAAAATGAAAATATGCCTATCAAAACGGCTTCTTCAAGGAAAAGTCAATATTTGCCTTTTTAAGGCTGAATCTTATTTGCTTTTTCTGAGGCTTATCATGTATTAGATAAAAGCCATTGTTACTCATATTTTTACATTGTAAGTTGCCATTTATGAAATATATATTTAAAACAGCTGTTTTCTACAGGGTTCTCCTAGTATAACCTTTTAAAAAACACATTTAATTTGCATATGTTTATGATCCAAAATAAATATATTCATCATGATGTATTGGCACATATACCTGTCACATCTTGATCCTTTTTTCTTCCTTCTCCTTACCATCTACCCCGTATCACCAGATCCCCTTCCCACCTTCACAAAATCTATCTCCCTATTTCCTGTCACCTTTCTTCTACTCTGCTCTTTACTTTGGATTTGTCATGTAAGAGGAACCATGTGATATTTAATGTGTGTTTATTTCCCTTAGCCCTGTGAAATCAATGTGTGCCTATTTTCCCACAAATGACTCAAATGTGTTCTTATTTATGACTGAGCAGTACTCCATTGTGTATATGTACCACTTTTTTAATCCATTCATCTGTAACTGGATATACATGCCACTTCCAAGTTTTACCCATTACAAATTGTGCTGATATGAACCTGGATATGCGTGTGTCACTGTGATATGATTTGCTAATTCTCCAACTCTTTCTCTTTAGTTGTTTCATTTCAAATTTATGAACTCACAGCAATGTTGAAAATAATTATGGGGAAACCTCTGAGTTTGAGAAAACCAAACTTAGGAAGATCTACTATATATGGTCACACACACTAAAGAGGTGCCTAATCTAAAGTGACTCATATAGAACGGATAGTCTCCTTCTGTTCCTCATAATTAATCCTAGATACTGTGAAGTTTAAGTGATAGAAAATTATTACAAACAACTCCCAAACTTTCTAATGAACTTATGTTAAACTTTCACTGTTAGGTATTAAAATAAAGAGTTATCTTAGTTCTTAATATGAAGACTAAAAGGACCAGTACTTTCATATAATCCCAGGACCTATATGAGTTACAAGGGAAATAAAATGTGTCTTGGTTACTTTCTCTCATTGCTAGGACAAAATGCCCAACACTCAAAATGAAGGAAGGAAAGGTTTATTTAGCTTACATTTGGGGAAGTTTCAGTCCATGATCAGCTGGCTACAAGGCAGGGTGGCATGGCACTGGGGCAATGCTTCAAGGCAGCAGCCAAAGCAAAAAGTGGGGAGCAAGCGTCTTTCGCTCCCTTAGAGTGTATGTGGGCCACCCTGCTCCAGGGCAGGGGTAGGATTCACAGAATCTCTGTGTCCTCCTCTTGCACAAGATGAGAATATTTACAAAGTAAGGATCCTGCCTCCCTGCTGAATCTCTTGGTTAAACTTCTAAACTTCTCAAGTTGACACAATATATCAGTCTTAACAAAAATGATGCCACAGTGTAGAAGAGCTTGTGAACCAATACACATCTTCCAGAAAATATATTTCAAGATGGTTACTTTCCCAGTGAACATCAACCAGAAGATCTCTACTAAGCTGGTTAGTTTCTAATTTTATTTTAATCAGAAAATATACTTAAGGTAGTTACTTTCTCAGAATTCTTTATTTTGAGAGCCAAACAATCACATAACCCCTAAAATGAAATAGTAACAGAATACAGTCCATCTGTAATGATCAGGATAACGGTTGCTTTGTTTTCCAAACTGTTACAGACTGCCTAGCTGCTGCAGTTTTCTGTCTGGAGTTGTCCTCTTACCCTGTGTTTCCCCTCCCCTCCTTTCTTCTCCAGGACTGCCCACCAGAAGCAGGTGATTTCCGAGCTCAGCAATGCTCGGCTCATAATGATGTCAAGCACCATGGCCAGTTTTATGAGTGGCTTCCCGTGTCTAATGACCCTGACAATCCATGTTCGCTCAAGTGCCAAGCCAAAGGAACAAACCTAGTTGTTGAACTAGCCCCTAAGGTCTTAGACGGTACTCGTTGCTACACCGAATCTTTGGATATGTGCATCAGCGGTTTATGTCAAGTAAGTGCTGAATTCTTATTTAATTTGCCTAGACGGTCTTAGTGCCTTTGTGTAAATAGTTTTTGCATAGTCTGTTTATCTGAATCACCCTAGAGTTTATAAGCGGTGAAAAATTTGAAAATAAGCTTTAATTTCAGTAACAAAAAAGACAAATGTATTTTATATTAAGGAAAAGTGGTCTAGAGTTATTTTTCACCTTGAGCATCACATCAATATGGAAGAATAAAATTTTTTGAATATGGTGTATCACTTATACCTAGATTTTTCAAATTGCCTCTATTTTGGTTGGAGAGAGACAGAGACAGAAAGAGACAGAGAGAGACTGAGAGACCATGGGGGCAATGATTTTGATTTGTATCAATTCTGACATTTCCAAGTTAACTACAGGAAACTTGTTTTGCTTTTGTTTTTGTTTTTTACTGTAACTCTGATTGAACTGAAAATTTGGATAATCTTTAGGAGAAGACATGATAATGCTTACTAGGTTGGATTTCAGCCATGTAACCCTTTAAGCAGAGATACCAAAGATGTTTTATTTCTGGTATCAATTCATCAATGTATACTTCAATGGACAGTCGAGTGACAAAGAGTATGCTTGTCGTGTGCTTGCCATCTTTATTTTAAGATTTGATTTTCGGGTTGTAATGGTTAGCCCAGCTTTTGGAACAAGCCATTTTCCTGTATGCTATTATTGAATCATATACTTTTGTATTTCACAAAGTAGACATTCTGAAAACTTTCGCCTTTCCCAACACAATATTGATTGAACTTTTCTCTTTAGAAGCAGGAACATTACAACTAGCACTCTGAGAAAAATATGTTTTAGTAATTTATTTTAAACTCATATGTTTATTTGAAAGAAATCTGTATTCCAATCCAAAAGGAAAAACTACAGTATAAATTATAACCAGAACTGTGAGATTTCAGGCAATGTTTTATGTCTGTAAAAATAAAGCAGATATCCTGATCCTTCACATAAGACAGGGAAACTATCATATCCAAAGATTTCTCAGATGGGAGAATACAGACAATCTACACATGTCTACAATTTTCTTTACTTTCAAGTTGCATGAATTTCAAATGTATGTTTGAATACAGAATTTTACTATATTAAAGCTAGCCAAGGCCTTTATAGTTATCCAATTAATGTCTAACAAACAGTGTATTTGAACATCATTTGTGATATTTTTACAAATATTTCTAAAATTGTTTATGATTGTTTATAACTGTCCTCTGCTTGGGTTCTCAGTGGGATTAAAATAAAGTTACGGGATCTGTAACACTTCTAGAAGGGTGGAGAGTTGTAAAGAAAATAGATACAGAAAAAGAGCTGTGTTGTAGGAAATGCCAATTAAGAAACCAAGAATTCCTTTTGCATTTACACTATAAATGAAAAAGCCAAAGATCAGAAAATTTGCAGTATCTTCTGAAAGTTTTATGGTTGGTCATAGAAGAAATTGGACTAAAGTCTGAGACTTGTACTATCCAATCCAATGTTATTTTTATTACATTACATTGCCAAATGAACCAAGTAAACAAGACGGGTCAGCAAATTAGGTTTCATTTGTTTCTGCATTGGGAGCTCGACGTGGCATGTTTTCTGCTGGCCTATTTCTGCCAGCTGGCCTCGTATACCTTGGCAATAGAAAGAAAATCCTATCTCAGCAGCTAAAGAACAATATATGTATGATACTGCTGGACTTTGGATTGCAAATGTAAGAATGCCTCTTTAATTTAGATTCTTACGATTCTGGCTTGTTAAATTTGGGGCCAAATGTTAACTTTACCATATTTGAAAAGAATTGTAACTGTTACATAGATGTTATGACCAGGTATGATTTTCTTTATTTATTTGGCTTCTGAGGGACAATTGTAAGGTAAAGTGACAGAAAAACTCATACCTCATTCAACCACTAACAAGGAATTTATTTGAGTGTAGAACAGATGCCTCCAGGTATACAGTGAACGAAGAAGCAGTTTGGGATAATCCTGGGGGCTTGAATGGCACACAGAACTCTGGTGTTAAGAGGCAAAAAGCCATAATCAGAGCTGTTCTTTAGAAAGATGATTACAGCTTCAATTATAAGAAGCTTAACATAGAAGGTGCTAGAGGGAGAGACCGGTTAAAATGGCAGCTCTTGTAGCAGTTTAAATGTGGCAAAGCAAGAGGTTAGGTCAGGCATTGGCGGCAAAAACACAAAGGAGACTGAGTTTCAAACCAGGAAGCTTTCATTTTTTAAGTAGGCCAGAGAATAGACAGCAATAAATCATGTTAATCATAGTCAAAAGTAAAGCTTTATATGGATTTTGTAAGAGGTACAGTTTTGGATTCTTTCCACTACAAACATCATAGCCTGCATATTCATGGTTAAATCTTACCTAAAATTTCTAAAATAAATGGAAAGACAGAGGACAGTAAGATGATCAAGAAATGAAGATGGAATATACACTTTTTCAGAAGGATAAGAGAAAATCAATCTTTGCTGCTGCAAAGAGAGCTTAAGTCTGTAAATTCCATTTTGGTCATAGAACAAAGCTCTGTCTAGGTATATCTTTATATCAGTGATGAGTATCTTTAGCATGTAATAAGAAATGTTAAGAAAAAAGGCTTATTTTAATTTTTAAAAATATAGAGTTAGGGTGGTGGGGCACACTTGCAATCCTAGCTATTAAGAATATTGAGAGCAAGAGAATGGCAAGTTTGAGGCCAGCCTGGCAAACTTACTGAGGCTGGTATAAAAGGAGCCAGAGGCAGAGACAGAAGAGACAGAGACAGAGAGATCAGTTGGTTATCAGTGTGTAGTTCACAAAGGTCAGGAATCTTATTACTAATTTAAATGTAGTTTTTGTACACAGATTCTCCTGGTACCCTGAAAAAAAATCCTTCCCCCAATCCCTATTCACTCTTTCCCTTCCTTTCCTACTCTATTTGTTGAAGATTTTTAGCTTTTTAATCTGCCTTTTATTTTTATCTTATTATAATTTTTATAAACTGTGTCAAATATATTGACACGGCATATGCAAGTTATAAAATATACAGAAACAAGTATTTGGATTAGATCTCATCTTGTCTTGACAGAAAGTGACAGCATAACTATAGAGGTTTGTAGCTCATAAGCACCAATTTATTTCAATTAATTCTGTGCAATGTGTTTCTAAGGCCACTTCCTGAAAAATATTCAGATTGAACTCTGCAACAGAACCATGACGTCCCTGTCTTTCTAAAGCCACAAGGCATTTACCACTTAAAAGATGTTGCCATTTTACAGAGAGGTAAACTCAGAGACTGTCACAAATATATATAAGTCACCTGTCTTTGTTGCAAATTTGAATCAGGAAAATTCTAGAATGGTTGCTATGTATATTATACTATCCTTAATTCGTATTTAGTAGTAATAGGGCATCACACTACGTAGCAGTAGTGAATAATAGATTCCATTTTTGAATGACTACACTAGGCACTTGCACTTAGCTTTTCAATTGCTTACAACTTGTAATTGCATTATCCTCATTCGAAGCTGTAGGGATCGAGGCTCAGGCAGTGGTATGACTTACCCCAAAATACTGAGTTCTAACTCCAGAACTCTGTTCCTTCTGGTGAGGTCCAAGTGACAGAGACAATACCATTTAGTGGGGGCCCTACATTTGGCTGCATAGAGGAACCACCTAGAAAGCTCTTACACAATTCAAGGCTGAAGTCTCATCCTCCAGATATTCAGATGCATTAGTTCTGTGTAACAAAAACACTTTCCTTACAATTCTATTGTTAGACCACATTCACAGACTACTTATAGTTTGGACAGCAGATAGTAATTAAAAGCAAATGACCTTAGATAAAATCTGGGCCCTCTATAAGGAACTGTGTGATCTCGGTCAAGGTTATCAAGCCTCTGCTAAACTCTGGTTTTAATCTGTGGAGAATGAGATTGACCATAGAGCATCAGGCAAGATAATTCATGCGAAAATGATTAGCAAACTGTGAAGAACCATGGAGACATAGAAGAAGCTGGTAATTTTCAGTTAGAAAATATACTGGAGTCCTGGTTCTCTGTACGGGCTTTTGAAGTTCTATATTTGCTGTTTGCAGTGTGAGGCAAAGTCATCAACTTCTTAGTTTGTTAAGTAAAGACACTGTTTTTAAAAATCAGTGGTAGAACTCTTGTTTAGCATGTGCAAGGCTCTGGGTTCTACACACGCAGGCACACACAGTTTTTTTATCATCTCACTTCAGTGCAGTCACTGAAATGTTAGTACCAAGAAGGTAATAACCTAACTTCAGAATAAAAGATGCTCATAAATCATATGTACATTTCCCTATGAGAAACTAACTACCCTGTACATTGCCTTTTCCTCAGAGCACAGAAATTATCACTCATAGTTTTTCAGACCAGCTTTGGGAGCATGGCCTTTGCACCCACCTAGCCCAGGCTTGGGAAATGATGCTTTTGCAGGACTTCACAGCTTTTTAATGGCAGACTACAAGTCACGGAGGGGCAGTGTTTATCAACATTTTAAAAATACATTCCCAACAATATTTCGTTAGCATGCCCTCAGGCTGAGATTTTTGTCTAGCTTTAATTCTATCATTAATAGTATGAAAGCATAGGTTTAGTGAATATACTTTTCCAAACCACATTCTCTCCTTGCCGGCCCCTGCTACAATCTGATAATCATACCCGGAACGGGGAGGGAGGGTTTTGGGTCCCCTTGTATCTTTGGTCAGGAAACACTGGCATTCTTGCTTGCTTTATTCTTTTTTTCAGTTTTTTTAAATACAAAAAGCAATAAAAATAATGATGCAAAATTTCAAAACATGTAATAATCATTAGTACATTGCATATTGTTATCTCAAAATAGCTGCTCAGATTACAAGACATAGGCATAAAAAACTGATCAGACAATATAAGCACAACGTTTCTTTTCAATGAACTAATAAAAATTAGTAGTATTACCATCTTAACTATCATATACACACACACACATATATATATATATATATA